ATTGTTTTGCATACATACTTACACACACACATACATCTATTTTTATAAGGTATGCCAAATGTTCGAAAACATCTGAAACTTAAAGATCTACTAAAATTATAATTTTCGAATTTTTTCGAATACTATAGCTCACTCTACGGGAAGTTAAATATATGGTTACCTTATTTAAACAAAAAAAATTTTTTTTCATATACACAAAAATGTCAACTTGGCTTCGTGTGTTTTCATAATACCAAATGTGCAAACATTTTTTATTTCTAATGTGAATTTAGTGCTGTCTTTGATTTATTGTTTAAAAAAAAGAAACAGGCTTGATATGTAACACAACGCGGAGACCTAAACTTAAGTATGTTAGAACCTAATATTTAAAACTTAAATATCGCTTTAAATAAATATAAACAAGTCAGTAATAAAATTAATTTGTAATTTCGATTGTTATGATATGTTTTTGAAAGTTTGCTCATGGTTTTTGATAACAAATTATTATATTTAGATTATAAAACTTATAATTTACATTTTTTCACGAAAATTTTGTATGGGGAGGGAACATACCAATTTTAGAAACCCACAGTGAGGCGTGACCCATAAAACTCTGGGAATCACTGTTCTACGTAGTTATTCATATTTAACTTTCTGTTGGGTAAGTAATCACCACAGAATAAAAACGAAAATTGTTAAATAATATTTGGTTTTCTCTCCTAAACATCTTGGCACAGTCCGAGAGAAATGAATACAGCCAACGATTACGGATCAACCGAGTTGAATAATTCGAAAACGATTGATTCGTATTGACAAGTAAACCTGATCATTAATCCTTTCGCCATTGTAAGTTTTTATAACAAATGCAAACTAGTTTTATTGGTATTTTGCCTTGAGGCAAGTTACATGAACCTCCCGATATGTGTAAATAATCGACTTAATCAATAAAAAATAAATTCATTTATGAGTGACTAAATATATTCCGAGTGCATTTATTACAAATAACATGAAAACGAACGAACTCGGATCGGAGTATTTTCAAAAATCAACAATTTTATAATTGAACCAGTTTCCGTAGGACTTTAAAGGTTAGTATGTTCATTAAGACCAGTACTCCATCGTTATACCAAGTAAATCGTCTAATTTTAATTTTAACGTCAAAAACATTACTCATTTTCTGAAACTTTGATAAATTTTTAAAATTAAACTACTTGTCGTAGGGCCCGTAATATTTCAGTAAGTTTTATAAGACCATGATATATATGCCAAAAAAGTTCCATAAAAATCGGCTTAAATTTTTTTTCAGCAGTTAATTACAAGGAAATGGTTCATTAGATTTTCACCTAAAACTAATCAGTATCATTTCCAACTAATATCTTTTGAACAGTTTTGATTTTTTAAAATCGATTCGTTAGTATGAGCTTAAATATGGACGAAAAGTTCAACACTTTTTCCAAATTACAAAAAAAGAAACGGCTCAACGGCGTCGCACAAAACTGACAAAGATAATCCTCGTTAAGATACATCAAATGGCTTTAAATTTCTGAAATCCATTCAGGCGTTTTTTTAACAATCGTCCATGAAAGTTCTGATTTTGACAAATGCAAAAAAACGATAATAATTTTTGCAAACTTTGATGAATTTTAAAAGCTAAACGAGTTGTCGTAGGGCCGTAATATTTTAGTATGATCTAGAAGACTATGGTATCTACCGTCAAAAAAAAAAATAATAATCGACGAAAAAATTTTTTTTAACACTTTATTACAAGAAAACGGCCCGGCCGAATCTCTCCAAAACTGATCAGCACGATTCCCAACCAATATTTTTCGAACGGTTTTTGAATTTTCAAAATTGATTCAGAATTGCGGGTTAAACGTGGACGAAAAACTTTTCACTTTTCTGCTATTTACGAAGAAGAAACGCTTAGGCCGATCGTCGCACAAAATGGAATAAACGAATGTCCTCATCGAGATACATCGAATGGCTTTTAAATTTTTGAAATCGGTCCAGCCGTTTTGACAAAACGTCGTTTTACGGCAAAAAATCTGTTTACGCACACGCACACACAGACACACATACACACATACTTTTTCCAAATTTGGTCTCATTCGATTCAGAATGGCTTGAAACGTCGAGAAAACATAAAATTAGCGAATCGGATTTTTTGACGAAAACAAACTTCTCTTCGGGAAATCTATAATCAATCTACACGATTACCCTGTTGATATCTAACGAACGTTTTTTGAATTTTCAAAATTTGTTCAGCCAAGGGCCCCACTTAAGGACCACCGACCTAGAGAAACATTCTTTCTGAGCGATTGTGAGGTTTAAAGTTTAAATGGTACCGAGAAAATCAAACACATATTTGCATTGGGGTTTATACAAAAACCGACATATCAGAAAACCAGTTTTCAAATTGTAAATTTTCCAGAAAAACCGGTTTTATCCGGTTTTTGAATTTCATATAAAAAATCTATTTTTGCTCGAATATTTTGTAATAACAGAAAAATATATATCGGAAAATTGAGTGTGATTTGTAGCAGTTTTGACTGAATTTATTTATGTTTAATTTTAAGAGTGAACAGATTTATTTTGATTTTAATTAGTAGAACAAAGAAATAATAGTTGATCTGGATTAAATAACGTTTATTTCTATTCCGAACACTTTTAATTAATTAATTTCAAGTATTTGATTATTTTTGGTATAATGAAATATGATTGCTAAAAGCTGAGGACGTCTATCGATTTGCTATTAGAAGTGATCTTTGTTTACTCAAATACAAAATACAAAATTTTCCGAAATAGAAAATACTCTCTCACTTGCAACCGAACTAGGGTTAATCGTTAAAGCGTGATATAATAATTCTGAAAATTTTGTTCTTTTATTCGTGGCTTCTAGGGCTAATTTTTTTTTTTAACTTTGAGTAGAGCAATTCATTCCTTTAACAGAAGTCGCATTGATCTAAATTGATATACACATTGATGAAATAATCTAAATTGATATTTGAAATTTTGCCCGCAAAAACCACACATAAGATAACAAATACAGACAGCATAAAATTAATATAATTTTGGAATTTAACTAATTACGAAGTTTTTGATAATTATTAAATAAATATGCTTTTTTTATTTTGTGTGCTTTACACCTTTGTAACAGTCGATTTTGCACTTTTCTTATATTTTAGTTATTTCAATATAATTTGATTAGTATATAATTTAGTTATTACCACAATACTAAATATAATTATAATGCCGTGAAATTTCAAATATCGTTTTAATTAACGATGATGCACAATAGTGCAGTAGTTCAATAATTATTATGAGTATTTATAGGTTGAGATATTCTATTCAATATATTCTTATATGTATATTATTTAATTTAAAAAAAACTTCAAGATATTATTTAATATATTTATGACTAACTTAATATACTTGCATTTGTATATACATGCGCTGTAGCATGAATAGTAATCATATACCGATATACTATTATTATGTATATTTTTATCAATCTATTTTTTTATTTATTTAGTGGTATTAATAATTAATAACAATAAATAATAATTAAAAATTAATTAATAAGTAATAATTAATTAATAAATTATTAATGATGAATAAATAATAATATACTTGTGCAATATATAAATAATATATATTTAATTATATAAAAGTATAGATATTATTATACATATACATATAAATATATAATTATTAAAAATATAAATGTATATATCTTGTGTTTTATTAAAAATGTTTTAATTTATCAAGACGCGCGGCGAGCAATGCTGTTGCTAGTCGTTGCGAATGAGAGACGACTTGCGACGGGTGTTATATGAGCGCGAGCATGTACTTGCTCAGGTTTTTCCTAATTTTGGATATGTTCTACCACATGAAATAAAACAAAATTTTGCACACTAAAAGGAAATACAATAGCCTTTCTAATGATGCTAATTAAAAATTAGTCCAAACAACCGCACTACCCAAAAATTATTTTTACTTTTTCATGCACTAAAAAATAATTCTTTAACAATATTTGTTATTAATAATGTAGTATATACCGATGTGAACAGATTGGCATTATTGGTTTGTCGATATCTCTCACAGTTGCGACAAAAAACGACTTTGAAAAAAGGGGCCACTTTCACACATTTTCAATGATATCTCGGCCAAATGATGAGCTACGTATTTGAAATTTGGTATATCGGATTTTCTCGAAAATACCTAAATTATTTAAATACCAGGGTGGGGCCAATTCTGTATGGAAACACGTCCATTTATATATACATTCCCTTTATATACATTCGACAAAAGATAATGCAGAACCTTTCTGGGAACTATAACAGACTGATATGATTCCAAATTTTATCGAACCGTTAAGATTCCAAGTACCAAAACGTTTGCTACCATCTAGTATATTTGACATTTTCCATTTGTACAGAAAAAACCGACGTTTTCCGCTAAAAACCCGGTTTTGGAATTTTATAACTTTCGTCAAAAAAAACGGTTTTTGAAAACCGACAAACCCTAGTTTGCATAATAATACTCAAAAATGTCAATACATTACGTAAAATACTCATGTATTAAAATTGTTCAGAATTTTTATTTCAAATACGTAATTATATTTCGATTCTCTTTACGTTAAATACTTATGTATTGAAATGGTTGAGTATTATTGTTTGAAATAATTATATTTTGATTCATTTTTACGTAAAATATTTATGTATTGACTTGGTTGAGTATTATTGTTTGCAATAATTATAATTCTATTCTTTTTTGCATCAAATACTCATGTATTGAAATTGTTGATTATTATTATTTGAAATAATTATACTTCGATTCTTTTTCATGTAATACAATATAGTATTGCAATTTTATTTAATATATTTTGATATTAGTACGTTAAAACATTTAGTCCGTGAACATTTGGTACATCTTTATTTATTAGTGTGGTCCTATTCATTTGGGGTTGTTGAGAAATACATTTTGCGACTGATGACCCTTCGAGATCGGTTTTTGATGCTTCATCGAACAGTATGACCATCCATGGAGACTCTTGAATTTGGTTGCATATGTAATAAGTCGGCGAGGGCTATTAATCGATTATATTTTCGATACTTTTTGAGTACTGTCGAAGAAAATTATTAATAACAACAAATATCTATCAATAGCAAAAGTTCTCACTATTGACAGCGTAATTCGGGTTTTGATTCGAGATCGGTTTTTTATGCTTTTCGAACAGTATGACCATCATCCATGGAGACTATTAAATTTGGTTGCATATGTAATAAGTCGGCGATAGGTATTCATCGACTATATTTTTGATACTTTTTGAGTACTGTCGAAGAAAATTATCAATATCAACAAATATATCAAGATAAAATATCAATAGTAAAAGTACTCACCCTTGAAAGCAAAGCATGTAGATATTTACTCAGTACTCGATATTTCGTTCTAACACTAGTTGTCATAAGACTGAACATGTGATGTTGGTTTGATCTATTCTAAAAAGTGGTGGTTGAGGTGCTTTAATATGGTAAAGCCTTTAAGGCGCACCATACCGGTCACGCTCTCAAATTCTTCGTCACAGTCGATGTAGGCAGGGTCTTCCGGATCCTGGAGTTTTCTTTCCTTGATTTGAATCCATATTAATTTGACAACGTTGTACCGTGTCTCGGGTTCATTACTACCAATTAATTTGGCTAATTCGGGGGATAGTCTATACCTCTTATGAATCCCAGTCAATTTTGCACGTTTCTGCAAAAATAACAATAATATAAATAATGATAATAGTATTAATTATATATATATATATATATATATATATATATTATATTAGGGGTATTATGAGTTGTAATCAATTTTGACTTTTAAGAACTTTTATAGATGACAACCCAAACAATTATCCGATTTTTTGTGAATTTTTAATATTACTTACTTATTACTTTTAAATGCTTTCAGATAAGAGCTATTTTTACTAAAAATATTTTGCTATCTATAATTTTAAGTTAAAACTTATGGAAGTGGTAACTGAAATCTATATCTAGTTTTCAATATTCATTGATTTCGTTCTAAATTACAAAGTCTTTGTAAATGCCTACAATACTACATTCAGATATTAGTTTTTATGATGTTATTTTAGTTGTATTTCTTTATGATTAGTATATATTAATTTTATTTTTCAATTACTTTCTTGGCTTCGTGATTCAAGACTTCTGACAGGGTAGTCGAACTTCTGCTCCGTGATTTCGCCTCCTTTCTTGTGCGTCTCGATACCATTGTGCCTGAACTGCTAAAATAATGTTAATAGAACTATAGTAGCGTATGGGAATACTATCTCAAATTCTATTATATCTCATTGTCATAACTTAAACTGAAAATTTGTAATAAAATGAAATTTCATTATTTTAAATGAATTTCAATAAATATTTCATTAATATAATTGATAATTAACAATAAAACAATGTATAGAAAAATTACACTAAAAAACTTATATCGGATAAATTAACAAATCTAAAAGCATCCATGTCAAGTTGTAATAAAAAAAAATCCACTAAATATATGAACTGAATTAAGTCAAGTCGAATTACATGACAGTTCGATGTATCATTAAATTAAAATCAAAGCTTTGTAGAAGATAAATGACATTTGTCATTGGCATAAAATTGAAAACTACAAAAAAATCGAAAATAAATTTGCAAATACATTATGTGAAAATACAATATTTTTATAATGAATTTTACTTACCTTTACTTTGTTCTTTGGTATTTAAAACTGTGAATTTGGAATAAAGAAATTTGGAAGATTTTTATACAAAAATTTTGATAGCACACATTTGTTTTCGTGGTTGCAGCATACTACTATAATTTAAAATTCAACATGAAAAAAAATCATCATCAAAGTGTCTAGTACGTCAGTAAAACAACTAAATTTAAATAATCCAGTGTGCCAAATCTTTTTGAGCAAATTGTCAAACAAGTTAAAAAAAATCGATAAGTTTCTTTATTCTAACTCCACTTAGTCCAGTTTTGTGTATTTACTTTTAATGTAAACAATCGGCAGGTCAATGATGTTTTTAAGGAAAAGGTTTTTAACAATAGCTATTATTGTTAAAACTGTTAAGTTCTCCTTGTTCAAAATTTGATTATGTATATATATATATATATATATATATATATATATATATATAACACGATATACAACGTAGTCGAGTGTATAACTCTAGAAAACGAGATGGTAGGTATACAGTTTTCATTCATTGCAGTGAGTTTATTATCTTCTTTATATAACTCGAAAGCAAAATATATAGCTTGCCGACATTAATAACCGTGAATTATGAAACGAATTCTTGCATATAGCGTACGAGATATATTTGGATTTTTGCTTATTATGACCCATCTCGCATACACAATAGTTCATACATTAAACTCGGCGCTTTCCTTATCAGCATTTGTAATTTAATGCGAAGTAATATAAGAAATGCGAGATGTTTCTCCATACTATTACCATCGCGCTGTGTATTGAAGCAGAAACGAACGGAATATGGGTCGAAGGTCGGAATTGATAAGCATGAAATTAATATATGACTTATGGGAATGTGAATGTTGGATAAGCTGACAAGCTATTAATTTTTCATTTTATTATCCAATGAGACATAAAATTCCTTATTTCGTTTTTTACTTTGCCGGCGCGGATGTTTACCATGAAATGGGAATATTATTATTGCTCGACGGACGCATCGACTAATTGATGTTACAGCATCATTGATTTCTAATCTCTGGGAAAAATAATTTTACTGTTTGTCTTGTGTATTCCTTTAACGTAAACCTAACTTCACAAGCAGACTTTATATTAGGGAAAGTACGGACAAAATGATACGATATTTGTTTATTTAATGATATTATAAACAGTATTAATTGTTTTCACTTATCTTTTATCCTTTGACTACCTGTAAATATATATATTTTTAAATTTTTTTCTTTTTTTTTTCAATTTATTCTGCAATCTGTTTTACATTAGCATTAACATTAAGCAGAAATTGCTAACAATGATTATCTTACAATGTAAACCAGTAGATAGTAGCAACACCCAACGGCGTGTCTACTAGGTATAAGGACTAATTATCTATACTCGAAGTATTTGCTGACATCTTTATTATATGTGCAACTATACCCACGAGAGGCAATTTGCACTTGAGGTTATATTTGAGATCTATGACCTCAAGTGGAAATTTGATATCAAAGTTGCCTGATGTCAGGCATGGCGGTAGCGGGAATCGGTCCAGCGAACCTGGGACTAGTTGGTGCTAGCCCACGCTCTAACCGATATCGCCACCGCTGGCCAACCTGTAAATATAATGCTTCAATTAAGTGGGAACTATAATAAAATATTTATTAAAGAAAAACTCAACCAGTTACAAGAACCACTTTGTCCATTAGTACGGACAAAATGAAATTAATTAATAACATATTAAGATGCTAATTTTTAGGAGGGCAGTTTAGAAATAAATCGTTTAGTCTTCTTCGGGACATTAATACATAAAGCATAAGCCTAAAGGGAATAAGTCATACATCGAAAACAGTCTTTGTTAGGGTCACAACGGTAAAAGATGTGTTTGCAATAGAAGTCTCTTTTTTTCTGCCGGTAGATCCTAGGTATTGTTTTAGAAAGAGTTAGAGTAGAAGTTAACCTCTTAACTTACGATTTAGATTCGAAAATGTCGGGCCAAATTTGTTTAAGCTGGCGCCGCTATCGTGACTATTTTCTTACACTGTGTACAGACTATCACAAAAATAAAAATAATTTTGTGTTTTAAAGTTTCGTATAAACAAAAATTTTGTAATACTTGCGATCACCGTACCTGGCCATGCCCGTAATGCGTAATATTAGCTTTTGGCCCAACTATCGTATGGGTGCTATGTCCGTAATATTTACGTTTGGCCTAGCCATCAAACGCGGATTATGCTCATCATAATAAGCTTAGGGCTTAAAAGCCAATCACCCTTGACAGGTTTAAATTTTTTTCTTGGCTTTAATTGAACTACTTACTTACGTAGTGTCTGCGAAATAGTACTATGTCATTTTGTCCATTGTGTAAGTATGAAATTTTGTCCGAAAATTAACTAAAATAATAAAATTTTTCTCAAAAACCTGATAATTACAATAATATTGATGGAAATCAATAGTACTAGCATAAGTTTATTGATTTTAATAAAAATAATTATAAATAACAGTAAAGACGACTCCAGAAAACAAGACAAAACCACCTTCATATTAAACTTCTAGGGCCAGCGGTGACGAAATTGGTTAGAGCTAGCACCAACTAGACCCAGGTTCGCTGGTTCGATTCCCGCTACCGCCAAGCCTGACATCAGGCAACTTTGATGTCAAATTTTCACTTGGGGTTATAGATCACAATATAATTCCAAGTGGAAATTGTCTTTCGTGGACATAGTTGCATCATACAATCATATGCACACTATTAGACATAAGAGCTAATATATAAAAAAACCCACACATAGAAGAAGGATGAACCGATGGGTTGCTTCTCATATCAATACCTTAGGTCATAAGTCATACACAAAAACAGCTTATAGAACAATAATAAAGAGTTCTGATTGCTGTGGAAACAATAAAAAAAAAGAAAAAAAAATTAAACTTCTGAGGTCGCAATACGCTTTTATACTGATCGTTTCGACAAGACTTTGACAATGACGCTCAACATCTGACAGATTTGTGATTATAGCTTTCTTCATGTTATACAGTAGCAAAAACGTTATTAAAACTAAACAATTTTTTAAATAAGGCCACTTTGTTATTTTGTCCATATATTCCATTTTGACCATATTTTTCATATATATATATATATATATATATATATATATATATATATATATATATATATATATGAGTAAGTTCTTCAAGGGCATACATCAAATAAAAGGCAAAGATTTAGAAGTTAATCTTTAATTTTTCCAAACGTTTCGACATAGTATTTTATGTCATCATCAGTGGATCTACAGAATGAATATTGAAAAATTAATATAAACTAGGAAAAAATGACAGAAATTGGAAAAAGAACTATAGATATAAGTAATATAATTATAACAATAACAATTATACTTAACAGATAGATAAACAAGAGAAATGAAAAGTAAAAAGAAATATATACAAACATACAAAAGCGTAATATATATACATAAATATACACACAAACAAACATGTATATATGATATACATGTAAAAACACGTACACATATGCATATATACATACGAATAATACGTATATATAAACATATACATACGGACATGTACATATGTATATATACACATATATACATACATACACATACACATATACACATATACATACATACATATATATACATATATATATATATATATACATATATATATATATACATACATATGCAATACAGACACATACACATATATAGACAATGAAGGTAACTTACATAAATATGGTCTTACATCAGTAGCTAGCGCAAGGAACATAATTTTGCACTATCATATATACATAAACTTGTTTTTTTTATATTATTTTGTTGAACAGAGTATAGCAAAATATTTGTGAAATATATAATATATTTTGCACAGAGAACGTAGTTTATGTGACAGAGCCCGAGGCTGAAGTAACATGTGTTTAAAAATTATTTGAAGAGACCGTAATTTTTAAACACATGTTACTTCAGCCTCGGGCTCTGTCACATAAACTACGTTCTCTGTGCAAAATATATTATATATTTCACAAATATTTTGCTATACTCTGTTCAACAAAATAATATAAAAAAACAAGTTTATGTATATATGATAGTGCAAAATTATGTTCCTTGCGCTAGCTACTGATGTAAGACCATATTTATGTAAGTTACCTTCATTGTCTATATATGTGTATGTGTCTGTATTGCATATGTATGTATATATATATGTATGTATATATATATATATATATATATATATATATGTATATATATGTATGTATGTATATGTGTATATGTGTATATGTGTATGTGTATGTATGTATATATGTGTATATATACATATGTACATGTCCGTATGTATATGTTTATATATACGTATTATTCGTATGTATATATGCATATGTGTACGTGTTTTTACATGTATATCATATATACATGTTTGTTTGTGTGTATATTTATGTATATATATTACGCTTTTGTATGTTTGTATATATTTCTTTTTACTTTTCATTTCTCTTGTTTATCTATCTGTTAAGTATAATTGTTATTGTTAAAATT